CGCTCATGCCCCAAGCGACAAACTCGTTCATGGCTACTCCTTTTCACCTAAGAGTAGGTATTGAAAACTTTCTGCGATAAAAACATCAGGAGCTACAATCGAGTTTATTGTATCTATGCAGATATACAATCTAAGGGCCGTATGCTATCCTCCCCGAAGGGGTTAGGGGACGAAAATTCCTTTAAATTTTCTGTCTTCCCAACTGGGATTACCCTGATAAAAGGCCTACATTAAATGTATGTATGTAGGTAAAAGTAAACATGCATTGAAAATGAAGAAACTACATCGTTCAAAGCAAATAAATTTAAAGGAAACTTTGGGTCACCTAGCTTCGGGGAAGGATAGCATACGGCCCTAAATCCAGAATGTTAGTGTGGTCCACAGCAGGATTCAGGGTTGCATACAAAATTTTGCTTCTTCATTATAAGTGTATTTTTGATAAATTACCACGAAGTTGCAGTTAATCTGGACATGTTAATTCTTTTGGTAGGGAATTGTAGGAAATTCTTGATCTCGAAAGTTCTTAGAGTTGTTCGCTAAGTCATTCCATTCTCATCTTAAAATGTCTTTCGTCTCTTACTTTAAGGTTGTTAAGAACTGGAGGAGATTCCTGAACACATTTTACATGGAGAGAGGAAGTGGTGTTACTTTATGTCCCTCTTAGGGCGAACCTTATGTTCAGTTTGAATTAAAAACTTCTTTGCGGTTATTGCTAAGGAATTTTGAAGCATCATGTCGGTTGAATGGGATTTTCTGATGTTTTCATCCGTTGCAAATGAAGCGCACTAGCTTATGCAGAGCTCTCCCATTTGGGTGTGTGGGCTCGCTGCAGTGAATTCACCCGTACTTCCGCTGAAGCAGGTGTGAGGCATTTTTGATGTGGGCAAGAACCAACGGGTCGTTCCTTTGATCACAATGCTTTACACCTGATATTATGCAACTGTTTGGGTGAACGATCTGAACGGTAGCTCAGCAATTCTTAAACAGCTTTCATTTTGCGGTTCTAGGCTTGATAATAAAAAATAATACAATAATGACAAAGCACACAAGGAGGAGTCTTTTTTTCATACTATGCATCTTGAACTACTTTCGCTGTTGAAAATTGCAAAATCAGCAACTTGGATCAAGTGTTTTTCCACAACCGCAGACTGCGAACGTATTTGTGCATATGAACTGAATCACCCTATTGTGAGGTCAGGTGGCTCTTGTGATTCGGCGTATTTTGTCCTTGGCACGGCCAATGGCCCTCTAATCCGGGAAATCGGGCATTTTTCACGCTATGAGGGCGCGAATCACCGCAGCCACTTTCAGCCTTATCGTGACATCGTTTTGCGCTGCTTATCAGCGAGGCTGTGAGCCGAGCACCGAAGGGGTCGAAGCCAGGAGTGAAAATTCACAATTCGATTGTTAGGTTACCCGCAGGGCGGGAGAGGGGAGAACAGAGAGTGGTAGGTGAAGGGAGGTAGGGTGGAGAGAGAGCAATGTTCATGGTGTGCAAAGCTATATTCGAGAGCTTTGGGCTGTTTTCTTGCTTTTTGTTGCTTGTTTTTTTTTCTCTCTCTCCCAACATGGGTTATACCCAAGTAATAAACAAGTACAACAAGCTTCCATTACCCTGTTCCAAATCGCTGGGGAATCGCGCGGAGCTTTCCTGTTAGGATTGCTAAGTGTGTTTGGAGGGATAGAGAAGCATTTTTTTGAAAATAATTGCCCTATTATGCTTCCGATGTATGACAAATTTATGTTTATGGAAAGAATCAATGATTCACTGAGCAACCTTTTCTCACTTTTCAGTGTAGGAAAAATCTAATATTGGTATACAAATAAATTACTGTAGTGCGCTGAACCTGTAATTTGGTGAATTATTATTTTGTGGACTAACTAACATTATTCCCTTCCCTCGTCTAGCTGTGAGTGCGCTGGAACCAGTCCACACAACTTGACGGGCATCAAACTTGTGGCAATTACTTCATGCGTACAACAAGTTCACCTGCTCATATGTCAAAATACTCATGACAGCGAACTGCAGAGGCTGGCAAATCAGCCGATTCATATAGCAAAAAAACCAAGCGTAGAGTCATGTTGAAATTATACGAAGTTATACGATATTCAGCAATTCGAATTTCAACGTTGATTAGGCCTCACTATATCACTACAATGGACTACGATCACCTGTGCCACGCTTTCCAGCCTATCAAGTAGACCTCTCAAGAACTCACCAGGCTGACAGTGACAACCGGGTACGCAGGTGGGTGGTGGGCACGGCGCCAAAGTGGGATCATCGCAGGACGGTTGACACGGAGTGTGACAGGCGGAGAATTGCTCATTTACGCCACAAATAAGCGTCATCGGTTGTATTGGTGAGACTGTAAGCGAAACATTTGTAGAATTTTCCATTAGTACTTAATTTGTGAAAATATTATATTTTGGGATTATTAGAGAATGACGGACAGTTAGATGAAAACAAAAAAAGGGAAAGCAGTGGGAAAAGCGTAGCGGTTAGTAAGTCGGTTAGTACCAGGGGCAAGACAAATGAGCCCTCTCGAGTGTGCTCGCAGCATTCCAACGTCTTTTGGACAGTCAGAGTCGCAAAGGCACGGCATGACGACGCTAACGTTTCCAGATGAAGAAGGCGGGCAGTCTCCCATCTCGGTATTCGTCACAAACCTGGAACACATGCATATTTGGGATACAATCTATTCGTATATTTGATCGGTTTTATTCTCGCGCTAAAGTACAATCTCACGGGGCACGACAGTGGGGGGTAGTCACCAAGTCCACATTTCAAAAAGAATTAATTACACTTTGGTGAACTAAAATTAAATGGTCCCAACTGAGAATTAAAGAGCACATCTCAATCAAGTCATCATAAGAGCCTACACTGACAACATCAGAAGAATTTGCCCCGAAACATGGTGCACGGTTAGAGCTTCAACGAAGTCCTGACTAATCGTGGGACTATATCTAGAACGCTGGTTGGAAGGGGTCTTGCATATACAGAGCTACTGTCTCTGAAAAGACTATCCATTAGTCAACTGATTCTACAATTGTGTAGCAATCAGGATGGAGCGATCACGGTCCATGGTGATGGCAGATGACGTCATATTCTTGGAGACGGTGAAGGGGGTGAGGAAGAGTTTGCTTTCGCTTAACAGGACTGAAATTAGGGAATACTGCCGTAAACTTTTCCCTAACGGCGTCACTGTGTGACTAAAAATTGGTATGTGCGTTATGTTTTTTGGTTTCCCTCCTCTGTGCTAAAGATCAGTTTGAATGACTGCTAATAAGAGGAAAGATGGTACCAATAACGTATTCTCCAAATGAACTGAAATACGAAGGAGAATTTGGAATTGGTCCATGTGCCCATAAAAAGCGGGAAAACAGTTCAATCCCAAGAAAGCATAAGCCTGTACGATGAGAAAATGAGGACCCTCTTACTTGAAACATGTGTGAGTGGAGCATCTTAATCTCGGGTATTACGCCAATAGTATGCACCCCAGCACGAAACTAGTCAAAAACAATACTTTTCCACGCATAAGTTCATCTCGGAGTTTTACGGCTTTAAGCGCCAGATTCTCCTGCTTTCTGCGACGGGTTTCGCAAGTCCATTCCTCCTCCCGCGAATCGGCGTCCCAGTGGCGTGACGCACCAGCAAGCTTCTGTCCCGGCAAGGCATTGCCTGCAAAAGATTATGTAATTTCCTTTTACAAGGTTCACCGCTAAACAAAATGTACCATTTCTGAGGCGAAAAACACCCAAACATTAAATATTCACAAAGAATTGGGAATGGAACAATACACGTGGCAGCAAGGACCCCTAAGACCCCGTCTCAGTAAATGATTCAAAATTATTAGAATAGACTGATAAAGCACTCTGGGATCCTTCTATCTTCAAAAAGTGCTTTAAAAAGGAATCTTCCACGGAAAAAGCTCCGCCCTCATTACCACAGAAAACGATACCTTAAAGGAATCTTCCACGGAAAGAGTGATCATTTTGTCTTGTGTGTAGGATTAGTATTATCGAAACTAACGCTTATGTTCCGTTCTTTTTGCTATGCTCATGAGGCTAGGGGCCTAAGGGGTATCGTTTTTCTAGGGTAATGGAGGCGGAGCTTTTTCCGCGGAAGATTCCTTTAATTTGAGGATGTTTTTCTTACCGCTTTCTGTACCATCTTCCGTCGGGCTCGCACTGCGGTATGGCCGAGCCTAGTAGCTCACTCTGAGCAGATTCGTCAAGAAATATTCTTCGTCGCCTTGCACAGGCTGCAATGTAGTGTTTTGTAAATAAGCCTATACTTTGGACAGTATGTGAATGGCAATCCATGAAAAAAAATGGGAAATATTTGTTAAATTAATGTAATTTAATGTAAATTAAATAAAAAATAGAACTCTATGAAATAAAAGTACACGACTTTCATAATATCAAACAGAGTGCAAAGAATGTTTCCGGCTAGTTTACCACCGAATGCGCCATGCACCCCCGCTCGAAAGGGTACTATCAAATATTACCATGAAGATGATCAGTTGTGGGCAAAACACATCGCTTCAAGAGAGGATTTGCTTTATCAGAATTTCTCAATGGGATAAAGCTTTCGCTCGCGTTGAAGGAATCCTGCCTGGGTCAGTTGTGACACTAGAGACAAGCATACAGAGTTTCATGCCTATCAAGCGGCATGTTGGAGGAATGGTGTTAAGGCGCTCGACTTTGGAGAATAGGGGCAAAACGATCGATAGAACAGGATTCGGTAGAAAACAGAAATATCAGTGTCACGGTGGAAAAAACCAAAAGAAGTTCTAGCCCAGTGAAGGCACTCCGAGAACCAAGCGGTTCCACGCCAGCAATTTGCTAACAGATGGTAGCTGGAATTTAAACGCACAATAGTACTTCGGGTTTCTTGAATTGTTTACGGAAACAGACCCCACTTTTTTGTTCTCTTCTTTTTATCGTGAATGACCGGATTTCTTTAAACTAAATAGGAAGGATTTCTTTAAATTTTGAATGCGATTCGCAGCAAAAAAAAACAGCAGTCCATAAAATAAAACGAATCAGAATCTGCTGTCAAATGCGTTCTTAGGCCAAACTATAGTGAAGTATAAGAAGATGAAAGAAATGTTCCAGCGCGATTTTCTGATGTCCGATAGAGAAGGGTGAAGAACGGCAATCAACAACAGATGTACAAGCTATCACAGTGCACGGTTCAGGGATATCAAACATTGACCGCAATCGGCAGAGTCAAAAAAAGCTCATTAACCCTTTGACGACCGTGTGGCCCGCCGGTGGGCCACACTTTCACTTAGAGGCGACTCGTTTTTCGTCATTTATTTGGCATTTTTGAGTGTTTCAAAGCTGGCTGTATACATTATTGAAAGCGCAAAACTAATAGTGAAATTGTTTGAAGTGTTAATGGATATTGACGAAAAAATTTAAAAAGAAGTGAAGCAACGGCGGTCGTCAAAGGGTTAATGAGCTGTGCCAGATATACTCGTCGGGAGGATAAAACACAGTCATACGGGCTACTCGCGCAAAGCACCGTAAGCCTTTTAGTATGTCCAGCAAGTATGCCTTCAATTTTCGCGGTTCCTTCCATAAAAATTAGCAAAAATGATAAATTAAGAGCGGGTGGAAGGGCAATGGCCGAACTCACTATTTTTCTATAACCTTTTGAATTAAAATGTGCTTTCAAACCAAAGTATTTTTATGGGAAGGAAAGAACTCAGCCCAGCTTGAACTACTCCATCCATTGTGCATGATGTAGTTTGGATCGAGCTTGACTCAGTGAATTAAAATACCGGGGTGACGAGACTCGAAACATTCTCAAGTTCCGAAAACAAATCGGGGTTCAACATACCACATAACAAAAACCAATTGACGCAGCGTTTCAGTGAAGTCGCATAATTTCATTCGTTTTCCCTCCCTTATATATGTAGCGATAGTTCTTCCACTTACCAGGAATGGATGATTGGTCGAAGTGGCCATATGTAAAGAGACCTACACCGGTGGATGCGTTTTTGGACGCTGATCTCGAATCTGCTTTCCAAATCTGCCAAACGATTTTCCGAATGGAGTTATGAAGGAAAGTAGTGCAGCGGTAGTAGTCCGGGTTCACGTGCGAGACGTCGTAGGATCGATTCCCTGGCGGGTTCTCTTTTTTGCCTTCGCTGCAAAATGATGAAAAGGCTCCCAGCTACCAATGCGAGCTTACTCGATCAATGCTTGCCTGTAGTTACCCGTGCAAAGACTTTGCGAAGAGTTTCTAATCAGTTTCTGCGGTACTCACTAAGACTGCACATGGAGCCCACAGAACTCTTGGCAGACGTTTTTGCAGCAAACAAGTGTGATATTCGTGTTCCGGAGATTAAAATACCCCTAGGGACAAGTTTGTAGCCAAATTTGAGATTTCGACCAAATTTCGAAATAGGCTGGGTGGGTATCTATCCATTCATCCATCAGCCTATTATCGAAGCCTACATAGCCTTGAACGATATACGTTTTTTTGGTTTCTGAAGAGTGTAAAGCAGTGTCTGGTTTTCTGTTAGCATGATTTCAACACCCACATTTTATTATTTTCAAATTTAAGGGTCGCCGTCGTCCAAAATAGGTCAACCCTGGAACTACCGGCTATGGATATGTAGCATCAATGAGTGACTCGCCCACTTTTTTTGAAGTTAATTCAAAATCTCGAATTTTTCTAGAAATTGGCCCCAGGAGTTATTGGACTACTTGAACACAGATCTCACATTCGTTCACTCAAAAACGGCTGAAGCGCGCGCTCCGTATACTGGCGCGCCTTAACCTTATGTAGTGGCATGCAAGTTAGGAAAAATTTCGAAGTTATCGACCTCAGAACTCATTCCAAAAGCAAGTAGGGCTGACCAATGATGAAGGAATCATGTTTCACTACTGCCAAACAGTCAGTCACAAAAATGCAAAATGGAAAACAAGGGGCGGATCCGAACCACTGACCCCGAAATCCCAAGCCCACCACCTTAACCACTAGGCCACCAGCACTCGATGAGAAAGGCTCACTGCTTCCTTCACAAGCCGCTGCTGCTGAGGCCGATTTCTCACTGTGTTAAACTGTGTGAGGGAACAAAAAACCTCCGTAACTCCGTTCAGCGAATCGTTTGGCAGATTTGGGAAGAAGATTCGAGATCAGCGTCCGAAACCACATACCATGATACTTGTCTCATTTCATATGGCCACTTCGACCCTTCATCCTTCCCTAGTAGCAGAGTACTTTGATCAACTATGCAGGAGGTTCACATTCAATGAACGAGCGCCTATCGAAGTGAAAAGGTCTTGGCTCCTTGAAACATGGCGTTTTTATGACGCCGATGAGGTT